GCGGCAGGCCCCGCACGAGCACGTCGCCGACGCCGACGATGCGGTCGCCCGCCGCGACGCCGCCGCGCGCGGCCTCGCCGCCGGGCCGGACGGCCGCGACGGACCCGTCGGGCTTGAAGGCGACGCCGAGCTGCTCCTCGGAGATGGTCACGAGCGTGACGTTCTCCTCGGGCGCGTGGGGCGCCGGCCGCCGGAGCGTGATCGCGATGGGCCGATGCGCGTGGGCCTGGACGGCCGCGAGCGCCGTCGCGTCGGAATTCGCGGGCGTGGCCCCCACGCACGTGACGACGTCGCCGACCCGGATGCCCTTGCGCTCCGCCTCGCCGCCGGGCATGACGCCGCGCACGGCGCCGTCGGGCCCGAAGGCGAGGCCCAGCACCGCGCCCTCGATTCGGACGCCGACGTGCACGAACGCGCCGTTGGGACGCGTCAAAGCCACGACCAGCGGCCGCTCCGCGCGGCTCGACGCGGCGGCGATGATGCGCGCGTCGGAGCCGCCGCAGGGCTCGTCGGCGACGCAGGTCACGCGGTCGCCGCGCGCGACGCCCTTGGCCTCGGCCTCGCCGCCGGGCATGACGGACGCGACCGCGCCGTCGCGCGAAAAGGCGAGGCCGAGCCGCGGGCCCTCGAACTCGACGAAGACGTGGACCCAGTCCGTGTCGCGCACCGTGCGCGACAGGGAGAGCACGATGGGCCGCTCGGCGTGGGCCTTGACGGCGTCCGCGACGGCCCGCGGGCTCCCGCAGGGCTCGCCCGCGACGGCTTCCACGCGGTCGCCCGGCTTCACGCCCTTGGCCTCGGCCTCGCCGCCGGGCGCGACGCCCTTGACGGAGCCGTCGTCGTGGAAGGCGATGCCCAGCGTCGCCCCGAGGAAGGGCACGTCGCACGCGACGACGTAGCGCGACCTGGGCAGCAAAAGTGTCCGAAATTCCCAACTTCAAAGGCTCCTATCTCGGTCGTTTTCCGCTCGTTTCGGCTGATTCTTGGACGAGCAATCATCTCTCGGAGCGCTCTCGAAGCGTGGGTGCTGTTCTCGAAACGCGCGCGCGCGGAACACTCACGTTGAAGCAACGTTGAATCACCCTTTTGCTGCCCTGAGCGCGACATGCGGATGCCCAACGCGCTCCCCAAATCCGCGACCTGCGGCTCCGGCGGCGGCGCCGCGTCGTCCCGCGTCCAGTCCGGCGGCCGCCCGAAGCCCACGGGCGCGCGCGGGGGCTCGTGCAACCGCCGCGACGCCGCGTCGCCGTAGACCGTGCGCACCTCGACGCCGTCGTCGCTGTCGTCGTCGCCGCGCGGCAGGAACGCGTCGCCGTCGTCGCCGCGCGGCGCCGCCGGCGCCGGCGGCCGCGGCGGCGCGTTCGTGCGGAACGTGCGCTTCGCGCGGAGCCAGGCGCAGAGGCCGTTCTCGTCCGCGTAGCGGCACCAGTAGACCGCCGCGGCGACGGCCGCGACGCCCGCGACGACGATGACGACGGCGACGACGATGGTCAGGAGCATCGCGCCGTCGACGGCCGCGAGGCGCCGGCGCGGCGGCGCGGTCGCCAGGCGGCGGCGCGGCGGTGTCCGCGCGCCCCGGAGCGACGGGAGGGCCGCCGCGTCCTGTGGCGGCGCCTCAGAGGGCGGCGGCGCCGCGAGGGCTGCCGCCGCGGGAGTCGCCGACGCGGCGGCGCCCCAGGCCAGCAAAAACCACCATGGGAGGCGGCGCCACCCCATCATCGAGGCGCGGCGTCGCGACGGCCTCGCGCACCGCGCATGCTCCTACTCCAGCAGAGCTCCCACGCCATGACTGCATTGGAGCTGCCCATTGAAGCTTATGTTTCCTACAGATGTAGATGTTGATACAGGCAAAGCGCAAAACATGGTGGCGGCGAAGAACTTGCTCGCGCTGCTCGCTCTCCTCGCGTCGACCGCCGCTTTCTCCGGCCCCGCCGCCGTGCGGTGTCGGCAGCCGCGCGCGCTGCGCTTGCGAAGCGCCGCGGCCGACGACCTCGAAACGCTGTGGCGCGCCCACTCGAAGCCGTTGCTGCGCGCGCGCCCGCGGCGTCCGGCGACGCGCGCGCGACCACGACGGGCACGCGCGTACGAGACGCGACCGGGCGCTGCGCGACGCGCGCGCGCGGCATGCGATCGCGAACGTTTCGCCGTGCGCAGGTCGGCTCCGGCGGCGTCAAGCCCTCGCACAAAAACTCGCTCCTCGAGCTGCTCGGCGCGCACGGCCACGTCTGCGTCAAGATCAACGGCGCACGGGACGCCGACGCCGTCGCCAAGGCCGCGGGCGAGCTCGCGGGCGACGGCGCGGTCATCCTCCTCACAAAGTCCAACTCCGTCCTCTACGGGAAGCCGCAACCCTAGGAGGCCTAACGTCGCCCCTCGCTCGCTTTACCTCGTCGCCTCGGCGCGCTTCTCGCTCGCTTTACCTCGTCGCCTCGGCGCGCTTCTCGCGCAGCCAGGCGCGCGTCTCCCTGCTCGGCGCGGGGAAGCTCGGCGGCGCGAGCGGGTCCACGTCCCGCGTCCTGAGCGCGTCCGGGTCGAGGAGCGCCGCGTCGCCCTGGTCGAAGAAGGACGGGCCGAAGCTGTCGAGGGGCGACTCGATGAAGCCGAGCTTGCGCCGCCGGTTGCGCAGCACGACGATCTTGTCGAAGCCGCAGCGCCGCCGCAGCCTCTCGAGCCGCTGGGCGTTCGCGCCGAGGTCCTGGGCGCCGCCGCGGCGCGCGGCGCGGAACTGGACCGTCGCGTCGTTCTCCGTGAAGTAGAATTCCAAATCGTCGACGGCGCCGCCGCTCCGCGCGACGCAGCGCACGTAGCGGTCGCTCGCAAAAACGTCGGACACGTCGGCGTCGAGGTCCAGCGCGCGCGCGAGCTTGCGCGCCGCCGCGGTCCAGTCGGCGTCGTCGTAGGACCACGGCTCCGCGAAGGCCCGGCCGCCGCGCGCGGCGTCGTCCTGGCTCGAGACGCAGCTCGCGGTCTCCGGGCAGGGGTCGAGCAGGCCCTGGGTGACGCCCAGCGCCCGGCACGCCGTCGGCAGGCAGAAGGATGCGGTGGCGATGCCGGCGACGGCGCGACGCGTGCGCAGCGCTACGGCATCACTCGTATGCAGCAGCAACGCGTGCAAGGCGATGAGCTGACGCAGTAAGCCCATCGCGCCGCATGCGAAGGGTTTTCTAAAACACGACTTTATTTTCAGGATCGACGAGCTACGCGACGTGGTGTCAATCGGCGCGCGGCCGCCAGACCCCGCCGAGCGGTGCGCGAGCTGCGCAAAGACTCCGAGCATGGTCGCGACGCGCGGGCGCGGCCCAGAACGACCTTACGTCCCCGGATCGACCCCTGCGCTCGGCGGAGCGGTGCCGCTAGCTCGTCGATCCTGAAATAAAGTCGTATTTTACAAAACCCTACTAAGCATTAAAGTCAACGTGAGCAAGTTGCAGTGCACATCATGCGCCCTCCGGCGAGCGCCTGGGACTTGAGCATTCCGGCGCTGGTCGTTTTAGATTGGCACGCGCAAAAAGGCGCCCTACATGGTCGTGAAGTCGGAGAGGGGCACCTCCATCTCGACGACGACGTCCGCGTCGACGTCGCGGACCTCGAAGTTGACGTCCGTGCCCCCCTTATTGCAGCGGAACTCGACGACGCCGAAGTTGTTCGCGTGGAAGGTGCCGAACTCGTCGTGGCGGTTGTCGTTTTTGTGGTCCCAGGGCCAGCCCTCCGTGAGGCCCGACGCCGTGAAGTCGTAGAGCTTGCCGTCGTCCGTCTCCAGCACGGAGACCTCGGAGTAGTGGGCGTCGCCGGAAAGCACGACGACGTGCGAGTTCTTCTGCGCCGCCGTGAGCGCGTCGAGGAGCTTGTCGCGCTCCGTCGGGAAGTTGACCCAGGCCTCGAAGCCGTTCGCGGGCGCGGCCAACACCTGCGTCGACGACACGACGACGCGGACGCCCGCGGGCTCGGCGAGCTTCTGTTGGAACCAGGCCCACTGGGCGTCGCCGAGCATGGTGTGGCCCGGGTCCGGGTCCACCAAGATGTGGTCGCCGATGTCGTCCTCCGTCAGGCTGTGGCTGCCCTTGAAGTAGGACTTGAGCCACATCCACATGTAGTCCTTCCACTCGTGGTGGACGCCGACGCGCTTCACGGGCGTGCGGTGGCTCCGCGTGTCCAGCAGGATGACCTGGACGTCGAGCGTGTCCTCGCAGCCGTGGAGCCGGTAGTCGCGATAGACGCCGTCGACCTTCTTCCACTCGTCGTCGTCGTTGAAGCCCCGCGGCTCCAGGTCCATCTCCGTGTTGCGCCAAAAGTCCTTGAACTGGCGCATGGACTCGACCTTGTGCGCGTACTCGGCGCCCGCGTCGTCCTCGCCGTAGTCGTGGTCGTCCCACGTCGCCAAAATGGGCGCGTGGGGGTGGCCGCCGCGGATCTTGCGCACGTGGTTCTTGCCCAGCGCGTTGTAGTCGTCCATGCGGGACCAGGTGTCCACGAGGTTCCTGTGGCTGCTGAACGACGCGCGGACCCAGCGGTCCGCGGTCGTCCAGACGCGGTAGAGCTGGCGCACCCAGTCGACGCGCTCGCACTTGTGCTCGTTCCAGGGCATGCCGCAGGGCGGCGTGTCGTGGTGCATGGCGTCGCCCGCGAAGATGAACACGTCGATGAAATCCATGTTGTGGATCGACTTCATGATGCGCGCCTTCTTGTGCTGGTGCATCGACGACCCAAAGGCCACGCGAAACACGGGGTGCGACTCGCACTCCTCGTCGTCCTCGCTCGACGCACCGGCGCCCAGCGCGAGGGCGCACAGGAGCAACGCGCGAGTCCACATGGCACCCACAGCGCGTCGAAGCGAAACGCTTTGTGGCTGCCCGCTGGTTTGCGAGGGCGCTGTGATCACAAGGTCGACGCTGCAGGGGATGCTCGCCAGCAACTTTGCCACAACCCCGGAGAGCACGATGGGCCGCGCTTCTCATCAATAAAACACATCCGTGAGCCAATCAACCGACGCGCCGCCATCCATGGGCGTCAAAATCCTGGTCTCCGGCCCCGTGCGCGGCGCGCACGGTGCGCTCTTCGCCGCGGCGTCGAAGGCCCAGTCGAAGATCGGCCCCGTCGCGGCCCTCTTCTGCGTCGGCGACTTCTTCGGCGAGCGCGTCGACGAGGCGGCGGTCAACGCCCTGCCCGACGCGCCCATCCCCACCTACTTCATCACGGGCGGCGACGTCGTCGACAACGACCTCGCGGACCGCCTCGCGGCGAAGAACGTGCGCTGGCTCGGGCGGAGCGGCTGCGAGGACGTCGCGGGCCTGCGCGTGGGCTTCCTCGGCGGCGCGCTCGGCGGCGACTTCGAGGACGACGCGCCGGCGGACGGCAGCGACTCGCCGCACTACCGGCGCGAGGACCTGGAGACGCTCGCCATCGCGAGCGGCGCGTACCGCGCCGACGGCGGCATGGACGTGCTCCTCACGTCCGACACGGCCGAGGGCGCGAGCGCGTGCCTCGGGGACGGCGACGAGCGCAAAGACGCCGTCGACGCGGGCGCGTCGGCGCCGCTGGGCGCCGCGCTCGCGGAGCTCAAGTGCTCGTACCACTTCGCGGCGTCCCAGGGCGACGGCTGGAGCCTGGAGCCGTACCGCTGCGGCGCGGGCGGCTTCGCGCGACTCGCGCGGCTCCACGCGCTGCCGCGGCGCGGCCTCGCCAAGTCGCTGCGCGCCTTCGACGTGGCGCCCTTCGTCGCGGCGCACTTCGACCTGGACACGGCCGACGGCGCGCGCGACGCCGCGCTTCACACCGCGGAGCTCCGGGCGGCGACGGCGAACCCCTACGCGGTCTTCGCGGCGCGCAAGGTCGCGGGCCACCGGCCGCCGCCGGGGCTCCTGAAGCGCAAGCCCATGGCCGCCGCCGCGCTCGCGGCGGAGAAGGCCGAGGACGCGCCGGCCCCGGCGGCCGCGGCCGCGGCCGCGGACCCGCCGCCGCGGGACGAGCCGAAAGAGTTCGCGTCCTTCCCGACGGGCTTCAAGTCGCGCGGCGCCAAGCTCAAGACGGAGACCAAGATCGTCGAGGGCCCCGCGCGGCCCGTCTACGGCGCGCCGAACCGGCCCGAGGAGCCCGCGCCCTGGCAGCCCGCGGAGAAGAAGGAGAAGCGCCAGTCCATCTACGCGCCGGGCTCGAGCCTCGCGAACCCGTCGAAGAAGAAGCGGAAGCGCATGGGCGCGCCGCACGGGCCCCAGTTCTAACGGCGGCTCGCCTTTACATGTCCCGCCGGCTGGAGGTGCTAAACGTCCGCCGTGTGAACACCGCTTCAATTAGTCTTCAACATTCAATATTGTACTTCACCATGCAGCCGAAATAAAGGCGTCGGCGCCCTCGATTTGGTTTCACTTTGGGGTTCTACCGATCTCGAAAGTCTGTTCGCGCCAAAAGGCCACCATGGGCCGCTTGACCGCGGCGTGCCTCGCGGCGTCCCTGGCGCCGTCGGCCGCGAAGCAGAAGCTGCCGGCCTTCGCCTTTGACAAGAGCACGAACTGGGGCCAGCCCGACGGCCAGGTGCGCAACTGGCCCGGGCCGAACGTGGAGGCGCTGACGGCGGGCTGCGACTGGGACTACGCGCCCTACGCGCAGAAGCTCAAGCACGCGTCCATCGGCTGGTACCCGACGACGAGCCAGTGGCAGAACTTCGACGGCCACGACCTGCTGCCCGAGCTCCACCACCTCTACGCGACGCCGCGCTTCGCCAAGGGCCTCAAGACGGACGGGGAGCACGACAAGACGGACCAGCTCGCGGGGCACTGCGAGATCGACGTCGGCGACGGGTCGCGGTGGGTCTTCCAGCGCGTCGGCGTCTGGGAGAGCGACGGCGGCTACGACTGGTGGCAGTTCGGCTGGGCGGACCCGTTCGGCCTCGACGCGCTCCGGGCCGCGCACGGGCCCGTCTACGTCCTCAACCACTTCACGGGCGGCGTCGACGCGGACAGCGGCGAGGTGCTCGGATTCCCGCCGATCCACGTGCACCACGTGCACCTGTCGCCCGCGAAGACGACGCCGATGCGGCGCAAGTGGGCGGACTGCATCCGCGAGGAGTACCTGGGCCACCGCGACGCGGACCGCTGCGGCCACCAGTTCACGGTCCTCATGGAGCAGCACGGCGACTACGCCTGCCGCGAGTCCGAGGGCGGCTCGAACTGCTACCTCGAGCAGCTCCCGGACGGCTACGCCAAGGTCGCCGACGGGCCCTACGCGCTCAACGGCGAGCTCAACGACGTCCGCCCCAAGGGGTCCCCGATCCTGCGCTGGTACGCGGCGGCGTCCCGAAGAGGTCCGACGCGTGCGCGCCGATGGCGCTGAACCTACCAAGTGCGTCGGTGGCGGTTTTGCGTCGATTTTTTTGCTCGAAAATTGTCGCGGTCGCAGGACGCTGCGCTGAACTTTCCCCTTCCCACGAGGTACTACCAGGCGGCGATCCGCTACGTGCCCGTCGAGGACGCGGCGCGGCTGGGCTTCGACCTCAGGCCGCTGAGCTTCTACTACATCTGGTCGCCCGGGCGCCTCTACCTCAACGACCAGTCGACGATGGTCAACACCTTCCAGACGCCGACGACCCACGACACGTTCGTCTGGTACACGGGGCGCACGCTGAGCGCCTCGACCATGGTCCGCATGAAGATGCACGTGCACAACACGGTCTTCAGGGAGTCGTACTTCTTCGCGGGGACGCCGAAGCAGCTCGAGATGGACGGCCCCGAGTTTCTACCCAAGGCGGGCGACACGACCTACGACTGCATGCGGCCCGAGGAACACGGCTTCGCCGACAACGACGCCGTGAAGCGGCACGTCTTCGACGCGTACGAGGCCTACGACGGCCCGGAGCCCGCGCCGCGCCTCATCTGCCGCGGCTCCACGGACTACGAGGAGGTCGCCTTCGACGGCGTCGACTACCCCTTCGACCGCCGCGCGCCGACGTGGTGCGAGCCCTGGGAGATCAAGAAGGGCGACCCCTACGTCGTCCTCGGCATCAACCACGCGCTCACGCGGCCGCCGGGGCCCCACCTCCCGGACACGATCCCCGACTGGCTCCCGGGCCACCTCCACTGGTTCATCTTGTCCGACACGCACGACGACACGTCCCACTACCGCTTCTCGATGCTGACGCAGTACGAGGACGAGGGCTGGCAGTTCGGCAACGCGGACGGCACGAGCCTCACCCTCTTCAACGTCCTCACCATGGTCCTCTACGGCGGCACGCCCAACCGGGCCCAGGAGACACGCACGAGACGAGTCCTCTCCGCCCTCTTCCTCGCCGTCCTCGTCGTCCTCCTCGCCGCGCTCGCTGTGCTCGCGCTCGTCGCCAGACACACCGCGCGCCTCCTCAAGAAGATCGCCTAGGCCCCGGCGACCGACGCGCAAGACCAAGACCGGCACACCTCGCCTCGCTGCTCTGTTTTGCAAGGTTTGAGGCTAATTCATCATCAAGTTTGACCGTGACGCCGCCGCGGCGCACGGCATCGACGGCAACATTGACCCCCAGGTGGCTCTGCTGGAAGACGAGCATGGCTCCGCCTAGGTACCGGTGAGGCCCGCGCCAGGTACGCCGCGAACTCCCCTGGATAAGCCACACAGCATATGGCTCCGGCCGAGCCCGAGTACACGCCTGCCGCGGGCGATCGCGTCGTCGTCATTCCCACCGGGCAAGCGGGCCGCGTCGAACTCGTGACATCCAATCTCTGGGTGAAGGTCTTGGAAGACGGCGAGGACGCCGTCCGTAGCTACCGATACGCACAGCTCAGGCCTGAGTAGAACGCCCAGCATGGCGCCCAAGCGTCGGCGCCTCGCCGCGTTCGCCGACGACGACGAGGTTTCGCCGCCACCGCCGCGACCTCCGAGCAAAAAGGCGCTCTACCTTCCCGGCCGGGACTCGGACGGCGACGACGACGACGCGCCCGCGCCGGCGCCGACGACGGACTACATGACCTACGCGCCGGAGGAGGCGCGGCGACCGCGCGCGCCGCCGCCCGCCGAGCCGTGCGCGAAGGCGGGCGCGCGGGAGCGCGAGGCCGAGGCGCGCGGCCGCGGCCTCGAGACGCCGCTCGACGATTCGAACAAGGGGTTCCGCATGCTCCGGGCCATGGGCTACCGCGCGGGCGCGCTCGGCGGACGGGGCGGCATCGAGGCGCCCGTCGTGCCCGCGGCGCTCGCGCGGCACGGCGGCGCGCCGCGGCCCCGGGGCCTCGGCGCCGACGCGGCGCGCGATCGGGCGAGGCGCGCGGTCGCCGACGCGCGGCTCCAGGCCGCCGCGGCGCTCGAGCGCCGCGCCGCGGCCTTCCACGGCGGCGTCGCCGACCGGACCCTGCGCCGCGCCACGGAGGCCGCGGCGGGCCGCGCGCGCGGCGCCGCGCGCGACCTCGACGAGCGCGCGGGCCTCCCCCCGTCGCCCATCTGGCCCGCGGAGGTCGCCGACGTCCCGTCCCGCGCCTTCGCCGACGCGTCGGGCGCCGCCTACGCCGCGGCCCTCGGCGACGCGCCGGAGCCGCCCGGCGGCCTCGACGGCGAGCCGCCGGAGGTACAGCTACGGGCGGCCGCGGCCTACCTCCGGAGCGCCCACGGCTACTGCCTCGCCACGGGCGGCGCCGCGAGCGACATGGACCTCGAGGCCGAGCTCGCCCGCCTCGTCGACGACGGCGACCGATTAAAAAGGGTTACGACCTCCGGCCCGCGAGCCGCATCTCGATCTCCGACGGCGCGACGAGGGGGCTGTGGACCTCCCCGGGCGCGCCGTCGTCCTCGAAGCCGCCGCCCTTGGTCTCCTCGACGCAGTAGGGGTCCCGGTGCCGCGGCGCGTCGGCGAGCGACGCCGCGGCCGCGGCCGCGACCGACTCCCACCGCTCGTCGGGCCGCGACTCCTCGAGGGACCGCCGCAGCGCGCGCTCGAGCTCCTCCTCCTCGTGCTGCGACGCCGGCGCCTCGACGTCGCCGCTCGCCTGGAAGGCGGCGCGCGCCGTCCCGCGCCGCCGCTGCAGGGCGACGGCGTAGGCGACGCCGAGTACGAGGGCCACGAGGGCGGCGGCGCAGAGCGCGGCCATGTACCACGGGATGGTGCTCGCGGCCATGCCGACGATCGACGTCACGCTCAGAGCGCCCATGGTCCCGGGAACGGACGCGATGGTGGACGACGGCCTCGCCGGCGTTGGACGATGGACTCGCTGCCCTGATTCGACAGTTGTACGCTTGCCCCGATCTCGCCATAGGAATTCAACATACATACAGGGTTGATCTTCAATTGGCAGCAGGTTGATCTGGGCCGTCTCGCGGGCCTCTGTTCTGGACAGCCTTTCCCGGTGGCCAACGACCACGAGGCGCCCATGCCCGCGCACTCTAGAGCCCCGCAGCCCATATAGTACGCCCTTAATGCGCTAGATAGTCGGCGGATGGTCTGGGTTCAACATCGAAGTTGAAGTACAACAAAACCAGGTTGCAGTTCAAACATGAGCAAAAGCCGGTCTGCGTGGCTAGATTTGCGTACCACTAGTCGAGGCTGCGTCGTGACGGCGTCGGAGAGCGAAACATTGCTCGGAATTGACGCGATTCGCGCAAAAACCGATCACCCATGCCCTCTCGACGACGGCGGTCACGAGCGGTGAGCGCGTACGTGCTTTGCGTCGAGTAGATCGTCGAGTTAGTGGCGATCCATTAAACCCGAGCATGATTGTGAACCCAAAGGCGCTGCCGAATGCTTAAAAGAGCTCACTTTGGCCATGCTCGCGCGGACGAACCGTGGGCCTCGTGCGGGACTCGTTCGACGTCTCGGGCTGCCTCGAGCAGGTCCGTGCGGCGGGGCGCGGTCGCCGTCCGGCGCGCGGGCGGTCAAGCCGTCCTCACCGGTCCAGGACCCGAGCGCCTACACAATTTGAGCGGCGGCGAGCACGATCTTACACCGGAACGCTGGCAGCCCCTCAGGTCGCCGATCTCAGCCGGATGCTGCCGACCGCCGATTTCGTCGCTGGAGCGACCCGATCTCGCCACGAACGTCGAGTTAGTGGCGATCCATTAAACCCGAGCATGATTATGATGCTAGAAAGGTGTCCTGAAGAGGGCGGCCGCATCGACTGGGCTGCTGGCGCGCACGGCCGATCACTGCAACCTGCTGCCAATTGAAGATCAACCCTGTATCCTGCAGGAAGCTAGTTTACTTCCGCGTTGGGCGGACGATGTAGGTAACAGTCCGCCCCGCTACGACCATTATGGCGCTGGACCTGCCCGCGGCGAACCGGGTCTACAAGTTCCGCTGCGAGGATCCGAACGGCGAGTACGCCGCCGTCCGCGCGGGCCTCACCGGCGGCCGCGGCTGGACGCGACTCACGAAGGCCAAGGCCGGCGACGACGCCGCCGCGCCCAAGCCCGAGGCCGCGGACCTCGTCTGGACCCTGGACGAGCGGACCATCGACCACGACAAGCTCGACGACGACCAGTGCGCCAACCACTACCGCGACGTCGCCACGTTGACCACCAAAGCCGGCCTCACGCGGACCATGGACGACCTGCCCTGGCTCGCGTCGGGCGCCGACGCCGACGCGCTGCGCTTCTTCCCGCGGAGCTACACGCTCGACGACGAGGCGCACGTCGCGGCCTTCGCGGGCGACTTCCGGCGGACCGCGGCGTGCTCCGCGTTGAAGCGCTACGTCGACGCCGCGGCGCCCGTCGCGTCCGCGCGCGTCGCGCGGCTCTGCCTGGTCGCCTGCCGCGCCTGGGCGGCGGAGCTCGCGGGCGAGACGGACGAGGCGACGGCGCCGCGGCTCTCGCGCCGCGACTGGGCGGACGTGCTCGAGTACAGCTAC